ATCCAGTTTTGGATTTCAAAAATCCAAACAATTTGTGGATTTTTGTACAAATCAGACTAACCGTTTTTTTATAACAGATTTAATAAATTTGGTGCATACTCAATTTTAGCACAAACTTTTGCAAATCTTTGCCAGATTTACCAAAGTATCAGAAAATTTTCTACAATATTTTGATATGTAGTTTTTTTCTTAAGGTCAGTCGAACAGTTCTTTTTCGTATCAACGTAGGTATATATGAGATGCGCCAATATGTATATGGGATTTTTTTTTAAAACCAGACGTCTGGTTAAAAAAATCAAAATAATTGTATTCGTAATGATGATGTTTACTAATCTGTAATTTTGTATATAGATCAGTACAGCTATTTCTTTATTACAATCAAATTTAATCAAAATTATCAATTTTTTTATATTTCTTGTAGATGCAAATGTTTAAAATGTAAAGTCTCTCGATTCATGTATCTGATTTTGAAAAAATAAAAATCAATCAGTACTTTTATGTAAAGATTAGTTTTGGCGTTTTTCTATTATGAAATTAATTAATTTAGAGAAGTTTCTGGTGGGTGCAAATGTCCCAAATGAATTATATCCAAAACTGTGTGTTCGATTTAAAAAATTAAAAAAACATGATATAAGTATTGATGAAGGTTATCAATCTGCAAATTTGTATGGAGATTAGCCTGGTCGTTTTTTTATTTAAAAAATATTATATTCTGCTGAAAAATATAAATTTTTAAATGGACTTTTTCTTAGATTGTGTGTTTTATTTAAAAAAAGCTAAAAAACCAGTCGATACATGTTGATGATCTTTATTTACCTGTAGATTTGTATGAAGATCACCTAGCTTTTTTTAAGATAAAAATATGTTTCTGTGGAAATATACACCTTTTAAATATAAACCATTTTTTATTTGAAAAATTCAAAAACCATTCGATACATATAGATGATGTTAGTTATCCTACAATTTTGTCTAAAGATCAGGGCAGCCGTTTCCTTAATAAAATATTTTGTTTTAGATTTTTAAAGTGTCCTTAGTCTTAGTAGTCCTTACATTTTTTTATTTTATCTTCGACGCCGACGTCATGGAGGCACTTTTTTTGCGGAAGGGGTCCAATCCAGTTTCCTTTCTGTTTCATGATAATAATTTTCAGTGGAGTTTTTTCTTCTCAACCTGCACTTTTTCATTAGTTATTTAGCTGTCTACTCTATCAGCTCTATTTGTCTTTAGGATTACATTTCAAAGTTCTGCAAGTAGATTTTGTCGGTTCTTCTTAGAGTCCATGTCTCTGATCAGTACAGAATTCAGTTCCAAATGTAATGAATACTTGATTTTAATCAGCAAGTCTAGTTTCTAGCGATATTGGCCCTGATGGGCTGTTCATTAATCACGTGATCGATTTTTAGATCCCTCTCCCTTGGTGACACGTGAAAAAAATTAAAAAAATCCAAAAATATTAGGAGTTTGCTATGTACTAAATATATACATTATGTTAGGAGGATAGGTAGGAGGAGGGTAATATCAAATACTACTGATATTTAAAATTATCTGTGATATTTAAAATTACTCCCTTCTTAGGCCACCTAACATTACGTATATATAAATTTTTGGGAATTTTGTGAAATTTTTTGAAATTTTTGTTTTAAATTCTGGAGAAAATTACATACAGGTGATATATTACTAAACACCCTTCCACGTGATATTTTGTGATTTTTTGTCAAACCCCTCGTTGACTTTTGATACCCCTGATCTATTTCGAGCAATGTCCCTCTCTGGTCAGGATGCTTCCTACGTCATACTCATACATATATACAACTTTTTTTATAAATTAAAAGTTCAAAATTTGCAAAATTTGTGTCCCACGTTTTGCAAACTTTTGCTGTACTTGGTAAATTTAACATTTTCCTATCCTCTGTATATATATATATGTATACAACACAACAGCGTCGAACCACTTTCTATACTTTTTGATTTATTGCCACACAGAAATGTATTATATTATAATATAATGTATGGACTGTGCTGATAAGGCCGCCTGACTCGAAAAGCAGATAAGGCCTCCCGCCTGCCGCCGCCGCCGCCGCCGCCGTGAACGTGTTGGTGGTGTCGGTGTACTGTCGAGGATACTACATATATAATACTAGTGTTGGTGGTGTGGTGTTGGTGGTGGTATCGGATAGCCAGCTAGCTAGCTAGTACGAGCGAGCGACCGAGTCTGGAGTCTACGGGCCGTGTCTTTTTGTAAAAAGCGACAGGGACGGATGAGGATCGGTGGAAGAACTTGAGGAATCGGACAGGGGACAATTTTAGGTTACCATCTTACGCCAAGTATCGATCAAAATGTTACTATAAGCTTATGTTACTAAAGTTGCAAATTTTGGCTACAAACTGGATGTCGGTACAAACTTTGATTTTATTTACAAAGGACTCGTGGTGCAAAATTTGAATTTGGTGAACATGGTTTAGAAATCGCTGGATCCGGGTTCAAAACCCACAAACAAGAGTGACATCAAATTCTTACTTGAATTATAGTGTTAAACATGACAGGTGGAAATTACAAGTCTGGAGTCTACGGGCCGTGTCTTTTTGTAAAAACCGACAGGGACGGATGAGGATCGGTGGAAGAACTCGAGGAATCGGACATGGGCCAATTTTCGGTTACACATCATACTTACATCGATCAAAATGTTACTATAAGGTAATGTTACTAAAGTTGCAAGTTTTGGTTACAAACTGGATGGCGGTACAAAATTTGATTTTATTTACAAAGGACTTGTGGTACAAAATTTGAATTTGGTGAACATGGTTTAGAAATCGCTGGATCCGGGTTCAAAAACCCACAAACAAGAATGACATCAAATTCTTACTTGGGTTATGCCAATTTGCAGAATATGATAAATTCAGATTAAATAAAAGACTTACGTACATTACATAGAATATATTTTTAAACAATCAGACAGAATTTTCAATAAAATGGAAGTATTTGCTATAATGGTTGAATTGGGACTGATGATGATGAACTGCTCCTTGCTCCTATGTGGTGGAAACAGTGTTGCCAAAGGGGTACCACAGTGTTACCAATCCTTTAGTGTTACCACATGTTGTTCTATAATAAGGGATGACTCCGAGAGGTGGTATAACACTTGATATTATAGTTGTTAAACATGACAGGTGGAAATTACAAATCTGAAGTCTACGGGCCGTGTCTTTTTCTAAAAACCGACAGGGACGGATCGGACAAGAACTGGAGGTACGCTGATGTAATGGATTTGAGGTGTCCAATTTTATTCAAACCAGTTTGATCCTCAATGAATTGAATGCTCTATCCGATAAAAGTATAGCTGGACATTTAAATCTTAGATTATTCAAAACTACTGATACTTTGCAAATCTTAGCCCTAGATCACAACTTCAACCCACATAAAACTCGTGGTGCATGGCATCACGTGCCTTAAGACAAATTTCAGAAATCCGTACCGTAACTGAAATTTTTTACGGCCCAGAAAGGAGACTTGATTTTTTTAACATTGTTAAAAATTCTGAAAACATTTGACAAATTTCATTATTGAAAAATATGAAAATTATGCATGTTTTGACTATGCACTATGTATTCTTTGGAAAACACTGATATTTTCGGAAATTTTTTGAGAACTAAAACTTCTAAAATTTCAGAAAGGAAAAATTTGATTTTTCAAATGCAATGTTTTTTTTTAATAATTCCAATCTGATGAACCGTTCTTTCAAAAAC